TCCCCCACAATCCTTTATTGTTAACTGCCTAAATCGTTTGATGTAGATATTAGGTGGGTACGAGGTACCTACATCAAAATTGTTCTACTCACTATTGACCGATAAACATTTGACAGTCCCATCTGATCGTAATTTGATACATAAACGTATAATGATACTTATACAGTTATACTACGTGTATAATAGTGTGGAATTTATAATTGATGAAAATTAACATTTCTTTCCTTTAAAAATTGTTGTTCTAGATTCAGCTGTTGTAAGCAGTGCCGCAACTACATAATAAGGGGCCCGTGAGCGATATTTTTTTTGGGCCCCTTCCTAAATTAATTTTTTAACTGTAAGTATTACAATCTATAAATGCCAACATTTTTAGGTTTTGTGTACACCTACATATTATTTATTTTTTGGTTCGTACGTTTTATTCAATCTGTTTCGAAGGGAACAATAAGAATAAATGATGGTATAGAATAAGCTAAAATTAATAAAAATAAAAAGGCAGACTAAACAGATTTCAGAGGCCTCCCAGTACTAAATACCCATAAATGTTGTGTACGTCATCACTCGTCCACCGTCGTCGTTTTCCGCTATCAGTCTGTTGTTTTTCCGACAATTCGACAAACAACGACCCATAGACGTGATAAAAATAGATCTTATGGAAAAATTGATAGTACTTAAAAAGTTAGAAACGTTGACACTTGAATACTTGATAGGTACCCACCTTTTACTAAACTTACCATCCTATTTTAACATACTCATTGCTTAATCTAATATTAGTATACCTACAAGTTACAACTACACTTATGTTTCAACTTAAAAAAAAAAGTATTGTGAATAATTAAATTTTGAGTTTTAAGACAATTTCAGTGTTTGCTCCAGGTTGGGCCCCCCCCCCCTTATGTATGTAAGCCTTGAGACCCTTGTGCGCCGCACACTCCGCACACCCGGTTTTGCGGCACTGGTTGTAAGAGTATAAGCGAAATAAAATTACTTGGAGGTGGTAATGAATAATTGATAATTTAATCTTTATGTATTTTCCAAATAGTTCCGTCATTGAGTTAGATCTACATCGTGCATACATATTACATATAGTATATTGTTGTTAGGTACAAGGTACTTGTTAGTTGTTAGTATAATGCATTTGCTAACTTTACCCTTCACTGATTTATCCTATAATCTTCAGCTAACATTTTATCTAATAGGTACATTAAATTATATTGCTCAGCTATTACCATCATTGTTTACTAGCGATGTTTTCACTTGTATTCAGTATAGTAAAGTGTCGAATTATAAGCTAGTCAAATGGCGTAACATTACTGCTTAGCCGGCGTTTTTTGTTTTGTTGAAAACGTGAACCTATTACAAAACATCAAAAGAAATGTATTTAATCAAGATTGTGCTATTGAACAATTTATTACTTAGCTGGCTATTTTTTTATGTACGTGTCAGCGGACGGCACATATAGGTACAAAACTCATATACACATTCTGAGCGAAGAATTATGTGTCAACCTATATTTCTAAGTACATATATATATTTTATGATGTTATTGCTATTAGAGTAATTTATTTTACTATTAGACTATTTAGACATTACTACATTACTACATTAGTAATATGAATTGACTTTTTGGTACGAAGTACTTATGAGAAACATTGTTTTAAATTGTCAATCCTTTGCTATATAAAATTTGAAATGTACATTTTTAACTACAAAATAATTTGCACATTTTAGAGGTTTTTAGATATCTTAAGAGGACGCTACACCGAAAGCGAAACGCATACAATGACAGAGAGAACGCGCTGTTAGGTGTTATCTTATCGAAATTTTAACTATAAGCGTTAATACAAAATCGTACTCATGTATCTTTAATATTTTTTCACTTCTATTGACTCTTATAACAACTTATAAGGAACACTGTAGGTATACAATTTTCAAAACGTAGTGATCCAATGAAAAAAAATGTATCAATATTCATAAAAATAAAACTAAAAACAAATGAAAATCAAAAATATTTATAATGGCTCAAAACGAGTTAAAATATTTTGACTATTATGTAAAAACTAAAAAGGCGATAAAATTCGTATTTTAATTACAACAAAATAGAAAATCTTTTGATGAAAAATCGTTATTGAGTCAATATCCAATGTCAAAAAATGTTCACTTCAAAAGCGCATAAAAAATTCATTTGACTTCCGCTGAACTTTATTTATGGTAGAACAACTTAAAAAGAATCTTGTACTAAATTTTCGAAAATATTTGAAATATTTAAAAAGAAATTTCTAACTAAAAAAAATTAGCAATTTTTCGTGATTTTGATGAATTTTGTCAAAATTCTGTTATTATTCTGACTATGGTGAATTTACGCTTAATTTTTTTTCTGAATCACATTAATAACAACTTACGTAGACTATGTATTACATTTTCAAGTTTTATGACCAAGGAAAAAATGTTATATCTACAATAATTTAAAAAAACTAGTTACCTACCTAATAAAAATACAAAATATCTTATACATCGATAAATATCTAAAAGAATCATCATTATAAAATGTTAACTAAATGAGCTACTCGTTTCTTTTTTTTTGTTTAATACATTTTCAGAACTGTGTGAATTTTTGATAATGTGTGTAGTGTGTAAATCCTATAAGTACCCATTATAAGTACAATTTTTTGAACTATGATATTTTTATTATAGCTATTGGGTGTTAACTATTTAACGATAAACTGTTATTTTTAGAATGAATTCTTATCTTTATTTCTATTATTAGTTCACTCTGTGACTGTCATTACATAATAAAAAAATTTTAATTAAAACAAGCTTTGACTTAAACGTCGGATGTAGGTATTGACAACATGTCCAGAGATGGAGGAGTAGTAGTGTTCACACAGATCCTCCTCTGCTGTCGGTTCAAACGGAAAAAAAAAAAAAAGCTCCAGAGATATTTTAGAAAATAAAGTAACTTCTATTCTAATTGAGTTATTTTTTAAACTCAAAAGTATTGTAACTTGACCAAATAAATAAAACGTAACTTAAAAATAACTTATTTACAATTTTGAAAAGGAATTAGTAATGTAATTTAATTAGCAAAAAAAGTAACTTAACCAACACTGACAGACGACAGTATAGTTATTATAAAAAAAAATAAATACCTGATACAAATCTACTATAGTTAGTAGTTACCTACTACCTATTCTGCATAATGTATGTTTATTATTTACATATTTATTTCAAACAAAATAATAAGTGCTGTAGCGCAACAATCAAATTAATGATAATTATTATAATAACAGGTTATTTATGTATAAACGATAAAGATGTAAGAAAAACATTATCTACCTACTTATGTATAATATATACATTATACAATACCCACCTACCTCAAAATGACAAAATTTCAAGTTTTTATTAGAACGGTGGGTATTCATTTTGAAACGAGCACTTTAACTACTATATAGTATATACCTTTACTAAAATAGATGTAAGAACTGAGAATATATATTATAGTGATTAGCGGGTTGAGTGTAGACGATGTTTTTGAAATCCTCATTCAAGACCGTCAAAATGATAGACTGGGTTCAACAATAAGAGGTCGGAGATGCTGCTCTTTGTAATGCAGTAGTGGTGTTCGCATATTTTAGCCAATGGATATTTGCAAATGGTGGTTTTGGGTCACTAAACATTGGTTAAGTTGGCTTTATTGAAATACTAAAATTATGATTATTTTTTTAGGAGATTAACGGATCGAGATTTCAGCGAGATTAATGCTATTTTTTATTATCAAGGTAATTTTTTTCTTCTTATCCCAATTGAATACTTCGGGGTAAATCCATTGACATATGTCTATATGTCTATGGTTAAGTCCAATTAAATGTTCCCACTAATGATCTATAGTTGGGTCTATTGCAGACTGCAGAAGAATTTAAACTGCACATCACGGTTCCCAAGGGTTGGGAGTTGATGAAGGGAGCTGCATCAAAGAACCAGAAACCAAAATTAATATAGGTATATAATTTATAAGCATTAATTGCATTATAGCGATCATGAAAACGATAAAGAAACACAATTGTTCATTTTAAGTTTTATTTCTACTAAATTCATTATTATTACCTATCACCCGTATTGTATCCGATGAGAGCTGCCAAAATATTAGGAACACACAAAGGAGATGAACAAATTTGAATACTTCTGGTCTATTGTATAAAGGTAACCATATATTACTATATAAGCATTTTGTTTAAACAAATACAAAATAATGAGAAGTACAATTTAAGTGCAATACTTAGTGCAATAATGAAAATATGTATTTAGTATTTACAAGTAAAAAAATACGTAAATGTATAAATATATACAAACATTGCTAATTGCTAATGACACAATGTTTATAACTTTATGAAATAACTTCAACAAATATGAAATTATATGCCTTAAAATAGGTTAAATATTTTTCAATATTTAAACATGCAAAAGATAGTTAATAATTATTAATAAAAAAATAAATTATAATATGTACTTTCAAAAATCTATTTAAAACATGAAAATGAAAACAGTTTTTAAATAGCTGACTTGCCATAATATAAATACAATTTTATATAAATTAATTTGAATAACTGAGTATTTTAAATATTGGGAAATTATGGCCTCTGCTCTCATATAATTCTGATTGTAATAACAATATAAGCGTCAAAGACATAATTAACAAAAAAAGTAGCTTAACAGTAGGCTGTAGCAAAATCATAATTTAAAATAAATGTTAATATTGTTTGATTAAAAACAATACAATTAAAAGGTTAACAGACTATAGGAAGTAGGAATCTAAAGTCCATAAAAAAGGTAACATTGTTGGATACATTTTCATGATACACATTATTTTAAATAAAAAATCTGTTAATTTTTTTAATATAATATATATATATATATATATTGATATAGTATGAAAGATAAATTTTGAATGACAAATGAAAATAAAATATCTATTGAACATTAACAATAACTAATTTAAAGCACCATTGGTCCATTCATCTAATATATTAATACTGACATCACATATTTAAGTAATTTAACTACATTATTAAACTATATTGAGATACCTAAGTGCTTTTGGAATAGACGTAAAATGTATCACAGTTTCAGCCGTATGTAATCATAATAAAAAATAAAAAATGTCTGTACAAGAAAAGTTAAAATTATACTCAATAATAAATATTGTGATGTATTAAAATCAGTTCATTACCAGTAATAATGTCTAATAAATATTTCCATAGTTGAAATTCAACAAGACCTCCACCTATGTTAAATTACAGAGTATGAAATTTAAAATTGTACGTGCACCAATAACAAAATAAAACTTTAATAATTTATGGTCACAGAACAAAAATGTTCTGTGTAAATTATATAAACATAATGATATAATAATATAATACAATATGTATAATAAATATTATAATTACAAATATTTAGACCTGTCCTCGCTAAGAAAATGAATGTGAATTAAATGTCAATGTAATAATATAAAATTATAAATCAACTCCCAAAGAAGACCCTAAAAGACTTTTTAACCAAATCCTTGAATCATATGGAGGTTGTTCGCCACCTAGTTCTGAGGGCAGAACATCTCTTGGAAAGTATTCATGTAGAGTATTCAAATTCAAACCATGCAAAATTATCTATGAGATAAAAAATAAACAGTAAATATGTATTGTAATATATATATAATAAAGAGGTTGATTTACCAACAACACTCAAAAATAGTTTTTTCCTTTGATAATGAATTTATTCAAATTCTGATTTTTAGAATTCTTAAGTACATAAAAAATTGTAGATAATTTTTTTAAGTATTTTAGATGTTGATGCAATTTAAAAAAATATCATGCATAAAATATAAAAATTTATTTTAATAAAATAAGAACTACCATTATATTTTATAGTTATATATAAATTATTTAAGATATAGAGGAAATAATGATAAAAAATATTAAATAATTTGTAAATTAATAAATCATTGTAATAATAATTGTAAAAATTGTCCAAGCACAATAAGTAGGTACTAGATTAAATATTAAATATATTTTATATTGGATGTGAGGCATTATTAGACTGATTATTATTCTAAGTATATAAGATTAACTCAAAAAATGAATTGTTAAAAATTTTATTTAGATACATTAACATTTAAAAATACCTTTGGATTGACCTTTTACAGTAAAAATAGCAGTTCTCATTGAAAAACAAAGAAGTTTGTATCGCCACAAACACTTCATTAATGGTGTAACAAATCTAGGTATTTCAAAATATGGTATCTAGTATCTACACATATCAAAGGGTGGTTCTCATTAGAAAAAAAGAAGGTTATATCATGATCACCAAATGATACTTATCCTTTTATCTACAGTTGTCTCCATCTCATACATGTACGACATGACAAATTTTTGCTCATTAATTTCAATAATATGCTGTTAGTTTTAATATTAGAATAAATTAACCTATTATCAAACTTTAAGGTAAGAACATTATTTGTGCTTAAGAGTTGGCGATTTTTTCGATATTTTAATTTTCAAGCAAGATATGGGTACCAATGTGAAATATCAAAAATTAAAATGTTCATATCTTACTTGAAAATTAAAATATTGAATATAATAAAATGCATGATCAGATAATTTTCTAACCTATAAGTTTGATAATAGATTTCAATTTATTTTAATATCAAAACTAACAGCAGACTACTGAAACTAATGAACAAAATTTGGTATGTAGTATGTTTGTAAGACAGAGACAGCAAAAGCAGGGATAGCGTCCTCTTAGATGAAATTCAAAAATTCATAAATTGAATAAAATAATGTATTATTAAAGAATAAATTCAAGTGAGCATGGTTGGTGAATCACCTTGTGCACATATTATGTATAATATGTAAAATTAAAATTATAATAGTAATTCCTAAATATTCTTACTTTATTTTTTGTTTTTTCCTTTAAAAACGGTTTAACGACGGACATTAGGCCATCAATATACCACGGTTGGTTGATAAAATGGACAGCTTTTATTTTTGCAGGAAAACAGTCTTGTAATCCTTGTAACATTACATGTAACAATCTTGGACTGATGTTCATTGTCTGACGAGCAGTAAAATTGGTCCAATCAACAATAAATACAAAACCGTTATACTGAGTATTCACATCTTGGATCAAATGTTCCAGAGATACTAATATTGCTCTGTATATAGTCAGTAAGCAATAACGTTCAATGTTCCATTGGGAGCAAACCATAAAAAGAACACGACGGCTTCGTCTATGAAGGAAAAATATATTTAATACAATTACAAATTAAGTTTAAATAAAATAATCTTAATTATTACTAAAAAGTTAATATTGAAGATAGAAAATGAATTATATTAACCTATCTAAATTTGAAAGTACAGAAGGAAAACCATCTTGAATAGCCATTTGGATTTTAGGATCAAAAGGTTCTAATCGACGGAACCATAGATCGTGTTCCTTTCTAAATTGATAATAATTTTGAATCAAAATCAATGCGTTCCTCTCATTCATTTTCCGTGCATATAAGAACATCATTATAAATCCTTCTTTATTATTTTCTAAATATACATAATATATGAAACAAACATATAATTAGTCATACTCATATTTGCATAAATCATAAGTTTTATATTTTTGAAGATAATAATTATAAATTGTAGTAATAGAATTCCATCAGACAAAATAATTTAAACATTACTAGTTTACTACATCAATAAGTAATAGGTAAAATGAAATACTTTTTTTAAGAAACCCAAAATCTAATACTTATAGAATCTTATTCCTAATACTCTTCAATACAGTAGAATCTACTTAATTGGGACATATAGGGTGGTGATCTATTAGTCCCCAATAACTGATTAATTTTTGACCAAATACAATCGTTCGCCGTTCGGAACTCTGAAAATTTGTAACCATTGAGCGATTATCTAAATCAAACAGATTCTACTATATTTAATTTGTTCAAAAAACCACATAAGTGATAAGTCTTTAATATCTTTATCCATTACTTTTAAAATCATAATAATTCAAATAATTAGAGTATTTATTTTTAGTAATAATTAAATATTTAGAATTTATATGAATAGTATTTAGTGAATATTAATATAGGTAATTAACGATAACCTACTATCAGAAATCTATAAACTAGGCATTTATAATTCAAACAATTAATTATGCTTATACATTTTAGTTATTGTTAACTATTTTTCAACAAAATAAAAGTTTCAAAATTTTAAAGTCATTTAGTGAATACCTAATTTAAAAATAATTATGAACATATTTTATTCTATTTCTTTGACATTCATAAATTCAGATTAAGAGAATTGTTTGGTATTAGTTATAAATTTGGTATGCTTGTGTTTGTTCAAATTATAAAAATTACAAATACTGATAAAAATGTATACAAATTAATTAACTTTTTGACCAATAGGTATTAATAAATGAATGAATTAATAATTATCAATAAGTAATTGATGTATATATATTATATATATATATATATATATGATAAGATATTTTTAAACATACAATTGTAATATACCTAATAAATGTAATATATTATACTATTATAACATATTATGTTATTAATAATAAAGTTTTATCAATCATATTAATCATAATGATTCTAATGATAACATATTTGACCTATAAAAGCATATTAATTATTTTAATTTTTAAATAAGCTATGAAGTGCAAACCATTAGTTAAATGTACCTAAATTATTTTAGTATATATACAAAAAAGAGATAAAATATAAATACTGAAACCTTAATTAACTTAAATAGGTATTTATTATAAATATAAATATAAGGTTAATTTTACATCTGTAATGTATAAAATGTGTGTTGTATTGTTGTCTAAATTGTATTTGATATTTTAATAAACCTTGAATTTTTTCTACGGTGACACACACATTACTCTACCGAACTGAAAGTATCCTAGTCAAGTTTAGAAATATGCTTATCAACAGACTTGAATGCACATAGGTCTTAGAACACAACAAAAATTGAGGTGGTATTATGATAGACATGGTGGAGGTAATGAACAGGGGTTGCTTGATCGCCAATCTTATTAAGTGGTCGTCACTGAGTATATTTCATAAATTGAATACATTTTTTAATGATTCAGAACCTCATTTTTTTAGCAAAATAGGAACATTTTCTCCATTTCCTTCTTTTAAACTAAATTAAAATAATTATGTTTCAATATATTGAGCATCAAATTATAAATACTAATGTAATTTATCTAATATTGTATAGTTATTGGATTTTGATTCTAATATCAACCTAATAATATTATATTCACAAACTTTTCAGTTCAGCTTACAAGGCGACTTTAGTTGTTAATCCCCAGTGTCTAGTATACAGTATATACTGTAAATTAAGTTTACAATGTATAGTACTTAAGTGTGCATGATTTTAAATGGTAAGATTAGAACTAATGAATTTAATTGATTTTCAATAAGTAGAAATGTATTGAAATTATAGTAGTGAATTACAATGCATTACAAATGAAAAGAAAAACAATTATCAGTTATTTATGAATTACTACCTCAATAGAAAAGTATAATTAAGTGTACAGTGGTTGTTTACCTGTAGTATATAACACTTGTAAATTAAAGTGTTCAATTATGAATGGTCGTAATAGTCAAGTGACAAGTACATACTAAATACAAGACAATTGTCTTGTCAAATAAATAAATAATTATTATTGGCTTATAAGTAAACAGTATATAAGTACCTATAAATATTTCAATACATAGGATTAAAAATATATTTGGTATTGAATTAAATTTATTTATATACTCTTATATTAGTCCATAGTAATTAGTTAACTTATTCATAATTTGTTAAATTACAAAGCATATTATAACTTACCGGCTAGAAAGGCAAATCCATTACTCCTGAGCAACTTTTTTAATTTAATCAAAGCTTCTTCCCGAGTATTTTTTTTAATTACCGGATTTTGACTTGAACCAGGGAATAACTCGATACCATAGTTAAAATTTAAAACATTATCCAAGGTTTTTTGCCGGTACTCTGCATATTCTGCCATTTTAATCAACTAAAAAGTAATAAATATCAGTCACGAATAAATTCAAAATAAAAAATCTCATCAAAGCAAACAACTCTCAACAGAATTGGTCAATCACTAACAATATTACTGTAATACTGTATCTACCATATATAATTTAATAATAACGATGTGATGTGGTGCCTCCTATAATTAACTCAATATCAATAATGTATGACAAAGATTGATCGAGAAATATGTGCGTGGGTATTATTATCAAAGTTGACCTCTTACTTTTAATACGTAGTAAAAACATATAAATCACGTTACTAAAATACTAATACTATGGTCATTACACATCACACTATCAAAACGATGAACGATGAACGGAAGGAAGTATAAGAACTTTGACATTGTCGCCGTGGTGGTTTTGAGCGTGTTTCATTACTATTGTAGGGTCATACACCCTGTAGAGTATATTATTATTCAGCTATAATAATAATGTTAAAATGGATCAACAAGTGGTGTAACGCAATCATGTCGTAACAGTGGTTGGTAGGCAGTGCGTTTACGTATACCTATTATTAATAATTATTACCCATTACTGTAGTGTTGTTGTGTAGGTACATCTGTTATAGAACAATACAAGTTCTTACTACTTACCTACGACGGTAATAGATGTCGATATTATTATTTCGACATCCGACTGTTTCACGTATCAGTCCATTCAGACATTCAGTCCTAATAGTGTCGTTCAGGGTAGACAGTGACTAAAGTGAGTCAATTTCAGACTTCAGTGATGTCGACAGTAGACAAACGTTTTTCTTTACGTTTACGTTATTGTGTAAACAAGGCGAAAAACATTGATAAAACAAACAATATTATCGGTAGCAGTTTATGTTATAGGAGAACTGAGAATATTATACCAGATATAGGCATACAGCCATACAGTTTTATAATGTCTTATCATAGGATGTGATAACTCCAGCTGCAGCTGCTGCTGCGTGACTAAATAATATCATCGTAATATTATAATCCTGTAAAATTCATTTACAACATTGAATACTATACTGTCTTTACTAGTATTATTGTTCTATGGTACTAAATACTAATGGTAGAATACTATAGGTACCGACAGAGTCAATCTGGGTGACTTGAAACTATTTCAACATTATTTTCTTATTCAGAGCTGAAAAAACAATAATTAAAACAATTTGTTGTAGCGTAAGGCCCTATAGTGCCTCTATAGTAGAACCACTTAATACTTGTAAACAATTTTAAGCCCAAAAATTGATGGATGAAAAAAATAAAAAAACTTTTGTTTCTACCAAAAGAAGACAAAATTAAAATAATTCTTTTTTAAAATTAACAACATAAAACAGTGATTTAGGATTTTCCTTGATAAAATAAAATAAATAAAAATTTCTTTTAATATTCAGTTTAACTTAAAATTAAGCTGAAACAACTATATGTATGCCCCAATAACAATTGAAATATAGGTTTGGGTGCTAGGGTAATAGGTGCCTACCTAAATACTAAATAATAGTGCCTAATTAAAAAATTAAAAAAAAACACTTCCTGCGTAGTATGGCATTGTTTTGAGTGACCTTAAATTTTACTTTTTTATTTTGCAACTGATGCCCTAAAATAGAAAAAGCGTTTTTTTGTTTTCAATTAATTATTAAATAAATATTCTTTTAAACTACTGTGTAATATATGAAAAATACACAAACATTAAAATTTGATGTTCATCTAATACAAATCATGAACACTTTTGAAAGTGATTATAAAATTACTAAAATTTTAATAATATATAATTATTATTATTTTGTACTTGTTAAAAAAAAATCGACTGATGATAGGAATATTTTGTGTCACAATTCACAAATACACAAAGACAATTTTAATCCAAGGACCGTTCGATTATTGCTAAATATCAGTAATATAATATAATAAATTAATATATAATATGATTAATGATAAATAAAAAATGAAACTGTTTCAAATCTCACTGAAATTTCAAGTCAGCCAAATTGACGGTACATTACTACGACACTATATACGTAAATATGTATATACATAGTTACAGTGGAACCTCGATAACTCGAACCTTTATAAGTCAAATTTTCCATAACTCAAAGGAATGCCTTGGCCCCTGCCTTATAATACATACATGGTATGTGTAATAAATATTCTCAATAGTTTGAATTTCTTGATAAGTCGAAGTAATTTTAGTCGAATTTTGGATTACAATTCGAATTCATATAATAATATTATATACTACTAAAAACTTTACAGATAGGTCAAACAATAAAAAACAATCAAAAATATCTGATTTCTTTAAAAAGCAGTTCTACTTTATTTATTACATTGTATTTTATTTATTACATTCAATTTATACATATACATATACATATTTATTACTTTATACTTTTTTATATAATATTTTATTTTTAATTGTAATACAATATACATACCTACATGCATAATACATTAATGATTAATACATTTATTAGTAAATGCATAAATAAATAAAATTATAAAATTAAGTCTTGTGTTTTTTAAATAAAAATATATTTTCGATAACTCGAATGAGCAAACAAAATTCGTCACTGTAATGGATGGTGTATTTGGTGTTAAATTTGAATTCAATGAATAATGTTATATTATATCATTGTATCTATAAGTAAACGAAAAACGCATCTAAGTGTAAAACTGGAGATGGTCTGTCAGCCTGATATAATATATATTATGTTTATGTTCTTATTAGTACCTAAATAAAGTAAACGGTAGCCGATAAGTTAATATTATCTATGGCTATCAAATCTGGTCTACCGGGCGCCGTTTAGTTTTTACAAGGGATTAAGATTCGGTTTAATCTCTTTTCCTTGGTTAACACTATATCAGTGTTGGCCTGGCATGCCAAAGGCCCCAAAAAAATGTACATGACATATTGTTGAAATAATATTTTTCATTATCATGGACCTCAGGACGGCCCTGGGCCCTGTTAAGGAAAATTGCGTCAAAATATAAGGCACGGCTTGATATCTAGACTACGGTTATCTACTACGATCATAGACGTATAATTTTATACGTCTATGACTCCGATAGTCCGAAATAGATAACCGTGATCTAGACGAATACTTTATACGGGGTCTCTAGTTCTCTACTCCCTAAACATATAGACCCACGGGCTACAGGAACACGCCAAGCAAATAAAAAACGGAGGGGCCACGATCTCCATTGCCTGGCCGACATTCCACTTTATCTTTATGACTTTCGATAACAATGCTTCGTAATTTCGTAAGCTCAGACAGTCAGACGCTCAGTAATCAGTACTTCACGTATTGTACGACACTACAATTTATACACTGGCATACAGTTACATTCAATATGATGGCAAAAAATTTTTATTTAACAATACATAATCCACATTCTTGACAACAATTTAGAGACAATTGATAAACATTAGGATTCACAAGTTATAAGTTATAACAAATGAGTAATTTATTTAACTATTATATTCATTATTTTTTTATTTGCGGTAGACCGCATGAGTATTATAATTTATAAGACCTCCAATTTTATTTTAAATCAGGTGTTTTTGGAATAGTTGCATACATGTACACACAGTGCTGCTACTATATAGACATGGCCTCAAATGTGTATGGAAGTCTGAAATGAACTTATAAATAGTTATATAATTTGTACCAAATAAAAGCGCACCGGGTAGCGGACGAAAACCAGTCAAATCTCGCGCATGTCTCCCCACCACAAGCAGTCTCTGCCGCCGTCCGAACGTCCATTCTGGAGAGTAGAGACAACAACTTACAAGTCTACAAGTTACAACCATAGATAAAGGATAAAGGATTGACTGCGGACTGACGACAAAGACTGGAAAGACTGTAAGACTGTTGTCACTTGTTGCTGCGGCCTGCGACAAAACTTACGACAACATAATATGCAGTATTCTACCGCAACTTGCGCAGATGATAGGCGAAAGGATCGGGTGACCAACTTATAAATGTACACAGAATATTCAGTTTCAAGTATAACAATTTTACTGCCACGCCTATAGCGTACAGTATATTATAATATATATATATATTACAACTATATAGTATAGGATAATTAATCAATTAATAATTTGCGGGCGCCCATAAACATTAAAGTATAAAATATAGTATAATAAATCTCACGAATAACAAATAATTTACGTGTGCTTATAATGCATAAATGGCATGGAGTACAACGATCTCAAATGACAACTTATCTTTTGCCACACCTGCGGTGTCCCGAGGAGATTTATATATAACGCTCGTTCCGCGATCGAACAAAGACTGTTTCAATATTTTTGACTTGTATTTAATTCTTCGCATTTTGAACAAGCATCTTTGATTGGAGCACCAAAGCTTAATGACAAATTATTCTTAAAATACTTCCCATAATATTGATATTAAATTTGTCCCTCTAATTCTGGATACAGTAGAACTTCGATTAACCGTCACTCGATTAACCGTCACTCTCCGTTATCCGTCATCGGTCATCGCCGAAAAAAATAATTAATTAGGCGATTAGACGATTGTCAAATGCTACGCAAGTCTTACTTCTACGTCAAATACGTAATATTGCTGCTAAAAAAGCTAGAGAATCAAAAAACCAAACTAAAATTACAGATTTTTTTCTATAATATGTGTGGTATGTATGTTTATAATTTATATGTGTTATAATAATTAATTTATATGTTATATGTAAGTAATTTTTTTTTTAAAGTACACACACGTAAAAAATATAATAAATGTGTGTACATATATGTATGCACACGTTTTTTTTTGCAAAATTTCCGTTAACCCGTAACCGTCTATTCGATTAACCGTCATAGCCCCGGTCCCGACAGTGACGGTTAATCGAAGTTCTACTGTACTTGTCTATAAACATTGCGTGCATAGTCTTAACATTTATTTTAAGGTTTAAATATTTTTTCAATTGTGTTGTGTAATGAGTAATATCTTAAGTTGGAAAACTCAGTATATGTTCATGTATTTTTTGACAATACTCAGATGGCCTAGCATTAGCGGTTATCACTAATATTTTTGCCTCTCATATGCCATATCAACTGGGGTAATATTGTGTTCATTTTTTTGAACAACTTTAAATCGAAAAAAATTAATATAAAAATATAAAAAGACCTAGGTAGTTATTGTTAGTGAACAAAACAAACTAAATATGATATAATTTCCATTCTTCAAAGATTACTGAAGGATAATTTTTTACAACTATTATTTTTCCAATCCAGTTTGTATGTTTTGCTTGCTTTATAACATTTCTTTTATATTTATCGTTAATAGACACGCCTTTTTTTCTTTTGAGAGGATTAATATATTCGTCTGAACTCATGTTTTAAAGTTATACACCAATACACGTTATGAACGTTTATACATGACTACGACGTTTCGACCAGTACAATCTTCATTCACTGATAATCACTTTTATTATTTTATAAATATTTATAGCAACGTTTTCTGGTATTAATCATTATTCATTATTAACTGATAATCAGATTTACAAAATTAAATTTATAAATAGAACAATATTTTGTGTCACACAACAAAATGA